AACTGTGCCCTGCAGCACTTAAAGCAGAGTTCCATTTACCCTGTCAAAAAATAAAGTCAGCAGCTACAAAAACTGTAGCTGCTGACTTTTAAAAAACAGCCACTTACCTGTCCCTTGGTCCCATGGTGTGTCCCCCGCAGCCCATTTCACCAGCCATCCTGTATTCCAGGAGGCTGGCATCTTCAGTGTGAGCACCCGGCTGTGCAGCTTGCAGCTTCACAGCCGGGTACCCACTGCGCATGCGCGAGTAGCGCTGCGCTTCGTGAATGGTCCTGTAGTCTTCTGGGACCCGTCACGTGTCCCAAAAGACTACAGGGAGGACACCTTCTGCTTCCGATCGCCTAGGCGATCGGACCGGAAGTGGGAGTGGGTACCTCTCAAATTCAGGTACCTGTTCCCCCCCCTACCTCCCAAAGGTGCCAATCCTTAATGGGGAGCAGTCCTTAATGTGGAACTTTCCCTTTTGGGTGGAGCTCTGCTTTAATTATAAATGCATCTGAACTTACATTTTGTCTTAGTCCCTCCATAAAGTCCCTCAAACACCTCTTACTAGGATAGAAAAGCAACAATGCTGCACTGCTCCTGCATTCAGAGCAGAGTTGCCACCCTCATGTAGACTTTGTCTGCTTGGTGATAGAATTTAATCTCTGAAACACTGTTATAGTAGCCATTATATGTCCTGAATTTATACTTCTGTGGTATCCTTGTCTGTTGATTAATCTAGAAAGCAGTTTAATCTGCAACTACTTCCATTCCTGTGCTGCTTAACTAGGCAATGCAAACTGCAACAGTCCACAGCAACCAGCCAGCTTCTGTTTTTGAAATCAGAGATGTGTAAGGGTGGCTGCATTTTGCACATGACTCTTAGCCGACTAAATAATCTTGCAGGGAAATAGCTTGATCTACACTTATGAGAACTCTGTTGTGCTGAAGTGTGCCAAAGTTCAATGGGACGCGGGCGGAAGTGGCTTCAAGTTTACAGTTTATTTCCTTCCTCTATTTGTAACAAAAGCTAAGCAAAATGATCTTTCCTTTCAAAGCATTCCTTTTAAATTTTTCAGTCAAAAGAAGTGTCCTGCAATTCTTACACAGTCAGTCAAAGGCATTAAAGCCTAAGTGCAGCAAAAATCAATAACAGAAAATCGGCACAAGGGACATCACTTACAGTAACAGCATACGTCCCTTGTGCCGATTCCTCTTCTGTCAGTAGTAATCCTCCAGCTTCTATGAGTGAAACAGGCTCTACGAATGGAGGACAGGCATTTATGGACCCTCCATTTATAGATCCTGTTTCCTTTCATGGAAGCTGTATTGAAGCTGTATTGAACTGCTCCTATCCTTAGGACTCAGTCCCTGAAATGTACATTTCACCCTCTTAAAAGCAGAGTTCCACCCAAATGGGGAAGTTCCGCTTTAAAGATTGGTGCCCCCGCTCCCCATTAAGAAATTAACAGGTACCCGTTCCCACTTCCGCTGCGATCGCCTAGGCGATCGGAAACGGAAGTTGTCCTCCTACCCTCCCTCCCTGAAGTATTGTGGGACACGTGACAGGTCCCAGAAGACGACGGGGCCATTCAGGAAGCACAGCACTACTCGTGCATGCGCAGGGGCTGTTTTTTTAAAAGTCAGCAGCTACAGTTTTTGTAGCTGCTGACTTATTTTTTTTTTTTACAGAGTGAGTGGAACTCTTCTTTAAAGTGGAACCTGCTAGATCAATCCAGGCTTGCCCTTTTTGCAGGTATACTTATGTAAAACATTAAAAAAACTGTACTGTTTAAAATCCAGTAATACACTGTCTCACCCTGCTCTGCACATGCTCAGTCGCTCTCTATTTGTGGCACGGTGCTGAAAATGTAGAGGCTGATCTGCTGAAAGCCTAAGGATTTACTTCTGCTCAGGGGCTCATGAATTCAGCAAAAGGGCAGCCTCCAGCAAAAAAAAACAAAAAAAAACAAAAAAAAAACACAGGAGCAATGCTGGAGGCAATTTACAGCACATACTAATTTTGGTAGCATAATCATTACATAATCCTAAAGAACATTTTTTATTAAGTTTGCTATAACAACCCCTAAACCAGCACAATAAGGTCTGGTCAGATCTGACCCAGACAAATCAACAAAGCAGCACACAGACCACAGACACGAGTATTAGACTCCCGTAATTAGTGGTGCATCAAAACCGAAACTGAAACCGAAATGTCTGCGTAAGTAGGGGTGGGAGGAGGCGCAATTTTTTTTTTTTTTTTTTACTTTTATTATTTTTAACTGTATTGCTGTCAAATAGGGGACCATAGTCCCCCTATGTGATAGCATATAAGTGACCGGGTAACGTCACAGCCTAACCCAACCCATTTGTTTACATCAGCAGTAGGGTGAATGACAGCTCCTTCTCGGAGCTATAAAATGAAGGGGAAAGAAAAGCCGGCAGTTGCATTTAAAAACTGGCAATAACATTTAGTGGTGGCAAGTGAGGGAGCCTGTCTGTATACACTGCTCCCTCACTGTATACACTGCTTACCTTCTCTCCTGCTCCCCCCCTTCACATCTGCAGTACACACAGCCCACCCAAACAGTCAGCCCACCCCTGATTGGGGCCTGGGTCTCCCATTATCGGCACCTGTATCAGCTCACTTTTTCTTATCGGCAAAATGCTGATAGGGCTATTTTCAGCTGATATTTTTTGACCGCTGGAATTTCGGTGCATCCCTACCTGTAATAAATGGAACTCTTATCAGTGAAATAAAGGCTCTACCTGTATGAAATCATTCTGTTCTTCTATTATCATTGTATTATATGATTTGATGGATTCCCACTCCCTTCCTGATATTGTAACTCTCCTTATTCTTTTCTCTTTCATGTATTATTTATTAACCAGAACCAATAAGATCAGAGTGAACAAATAATACCTGGGGATCCTACCATGAAGGTGTTTAAGGCAACATGGTGACAACGCTCTGTCTCCCAATTGTTCTCCCGTGTCACCTTGTCATATAGGTTTCTGACCATCATTAGGAGTGACCATTCCAACACCAGGAGTGCAGCCTTAGTTCAATCTTCTATCTTGGAATAGGTCACCACATTACATGGGACTTTTTCTCTAATGCTGAAGACATTTCATAACTTATCCAATCTACTTCTTCAGTTAATTCCTCAGAATATAAAGTGGCTTGACAAACTACAAAACATCTTCAAGCAGTCCAGGTGAATGTGACCAACTACTTCTAGATAGATCATGGCCTGGATAAAAGGGGAACCTTCACAGATAAAGTCCAATGTCCTCACCAATAGGAAACCCGGGCCTGAGAAAGGTCATTCAGCCATTGCTGCAGTCCATGTAGACAGGAAGACGCTTCAAAGATGTTGCATGAGATCAGAACACAACAAAAGGATCAAAACAAGGATTGTATTAAATTCATGTTTGCAATAAAAACAAACATGGCAACTGTTTAAAATACATGATGCTTTAGCAAACACTTTTATTAGAAAATGTTTTTCAGTTAGGGTTTACATGTACTTGAAGGCCAGCTGTTTGGCTAGGAACTGATCTATCTATTCTAAATACTGAAAGCTCGACTGTTTCTTCTTGCTTAGAACGATCATAGCTATGCAAGTCACCTGCTGTCTAGGAACAACAGGTATTAGGTTACAGGCAGGTGACAACCGAGATTTCTGTTTCTAGTTACCACCTGTTCATCCTCTAATTGTAGGCACCCATCCTTCAGTCACAGTGAAAAGGGCATGTACTTCACTATGCAGCTGATATGTAATCTTCAGGACAGCAGCTTTCTGGGGCCCAGAGCAAAGTCTGGCCATTCTCATTTATCATGCTGTGTCATGGAGCAATATACAGTGGCACAAGAGATAAAGGGGCCCTAAGAAGAGATTCAGATAAACACATAATGCCTGCAACACCTGGACAGCAACAGCTCAGGATACCTCGAAATACACATATAAAAAAAAAAAAGAAAATCTATCTAAAAACAAAACCTTTTCTTGCTTTGGACAGGAGTAGGAAAGGCATTTATTGTTGTTTCCAAACAAAACTCTCTTTCCATTGTGCTAATTTAATAAAGGAGCTGGGAACCTTACACAGTAAAATGTGTGAATATTCACATAAAAAGGTAAGTTCACCTCGAAACACATTTCCCAAAGTGGGCTACATGCTTCAAAATGTCCCCGATATAGTAAAATGCTGTTCCATTCTCCAAATAAATGCTCACCTCTTCAGCCGTTTAAACCACTGTCCTCCCCAATCCATCCTGCAGATGGCAGAATGCACTCAGGGTTGAATGCATGGCTCTAAAAAAAACCCACAAATGAGCACTCCAGATCTCCCTACCCACGCATGCGCAGTCTGCCCTCTTTTTTCTCTCTTGAATTTTGCAAGAGTAAAGGAGAGATGATTGCACATGCATGGGTGAGGAGGGAAACTGAGAGGATTTCCAGGACTGCATTCAGCACTGGGTATGTCCTGCTATTTGCAGGATGGAATTTTCAGGAAATCGGTATAAAGGTGAACTTACCCTTTTCGCAACGCAAATGTTCACTTTTATAGATTTACTTTCACATGATTACATATTTTAATGTGAACCTAAATGTAAAAGATTAAAAAATAGACTGAACAAAGAAATGGAGCCCAAAAGGCATTAATGGGCTGCAGTCAAAACTTGGCCTTCATAGGGTGCATTTGCCTCGCTGACCTCACAAGACTGGGGGGTCTGGGAGCACTGAGGAAGAGGATAAATCCTTGAAATGTGTCAGCCTGTCGATGTTCCATCATTTCTTTACTTCTTGATGTTTTGCGATAGGTTTGTGCTGTACTCATGAGATGAATTTGTACCTTTTATGACTCGAGTAGAATACTTACCCTTTTAAAGTAAATATATTTTTAACCGCCTCCCACCCGCCATATAAGGAAATGACGGGCGCAAGGCGGTTCTCTTGTCCTCCCACTCGCGTACGCGCCCCCGGGGACACAGCGGATCACCGATCAACGGAAAGAGACATCGGCTCTGTCATGTGATCAGCTGTATGCAATCACAGCTGATCGCATGTAAATAAGGAAATGCCGGTTATTGGTATTCCTCTCCTCACAAGCGGTCATCAGTAATCAGCATTACTCAGGTAATCAGCATTACTCAGTAATCAGCATTACTCAGGTAATCAGCATTACTCAGAGGGGACATGAACACTGATCATCAGGGCACTGATGATCAGTGTGCCCTGATGATCAGTGTAGCCCCATCAGTGCCACCTGTCAGTGTCCATCAATGCCACCTACCTGTGCCCATCAATGCCACATATCAGTGCCCATCTGAGCTGCCTTTCAGTGCCACCTATCAGTGCCAGTCAGTGCTGCCTATCAATGCCAATCAGTGCCAGTCAGTCACGCCTATCAGTGCCACCTATCAGTGTCATATATGAGTGCTGCTTTTCAGTGCCACCTACCAGTGCAGCCTATCAATGCCCATCACTGCAGCCTCGTTAGCGCGCACACACACACACACACACACACACACACACACATATATATATACACACACACACACACACACACACACACACACACACACTTTAACAGCAAACTGCAAGAAATATATATTTTTTATTTTGCCAAAACTACTAAAAACACATTTAGAGCGGATGTAAACCATGACTGAATGATGCTTATTTTGTTACAGCAATTTGTATGATAAAGGCAATGCTTTTTTGTAATATTTGTTTTAACTTTTTTTTTTCTTCTTTTGTTGAATCCCAGTGCTGCTGAGCTTGTAAATTCCCTTCACAACCACTTCCTACCTAAATGCGATCTAGGCTTATCCAAATAATTATTATTTTGTTTAAATAAAATGATATTGCCAGATTACAGCCAATGACTTATGCCCCGTACCCACGATAAGAAAATTGTACGAAATATTTTGCAGAACCACTGATAGAAAGATTTTCTCTTCGTTGATGAGCAGGAGGTTTTAACCGATAACAATATTGTGAACAAAAAAAATCTGGTTGAACAACAGTGAAATATTTTGTCGTTTTGCATATGAACAACCGATTTTCTATGCAGTGGTATAACGGTCCTACGAAAAAAAAAAAAATCTATCACGCATGAGTGTAAACAGAAGATGACTCGGATGTTTATGTCCAAGGAATCTTTGTAAATACGAACGAAAAATCCAAATGTTAAAAGTAGATTGGCCTAATGAGATAATGAAACCAGAATTCTGCATAATATATTTTATGTATCACTATTTATGTATATAGGTAATGTAATAATATATAATTATACTCATTGCTGTTAATTGTTGTGTATATCGCTCGTTCTGGCCGGAAGGGCGTGGCTACAAGGTCACATGCACACTGCATCACTTCCACTTGTACGGAAGACGTCAACACTACGTATTGCCTGACGAACAATTTTTTGTAGACTGGTTAATGTGGGCCACAATTTTGACTAACAAACGAATGCCTCTCAGTGGTCAGATGACCGATCGGTCGATTTTCTAATCGTGTATTACCACCTTAAGGCTAAGTTCACATTGTTGCTTGCCATGAACACATACACAATCGCGCACGTTCCTGACATGCTAGAGAAACACAATGTTGTTTCACAGACAGAAGGGGCACCATTAACTTTTAATGGCACCCCTCCCCCCCCCACATCAGCAAAACGTCTGCACTGTGCAATTCTGTGCAGTGCAATTTTCAAAAAGGGTTGGGGACTGCTTTCCTTGAGTCTCTGTGGGTAGGGCAGTGCACTACAATGATGGGCTGCCCTATCTGCAGAAAGTAGCCTGCAAAAGTGTTGACCGGTCCTTGCAAAGATCCATCACAGTCCGACGTTTCTACCACCTTCGTACAGACACACACATGAATCTTAGCCAGTTAGACAAAAGGCATTTAACCTGCCAGTATGCTTTTGCTTATGGAAGGAACAACAAACAAGTAAAAGAACGCATAAACCCCAAATATGGAACGTCCCTTGTAGGAACTGAAACTGGACTAAGTAGCACAAGGCAAGAGTCCTATCCACTATGACACAATGACAAAGCAGACAACAGTTCACCTGAAATGTGCTGATCTGAATGAACTTTGAATTAATATCCAGCTTCAAAGTCCTGTTTAAACCTTGCTTACAGTGCTTCTTATCATAATCCGCTAAGATTAAAGTTGAACTCCCTTCGGGATTAATAATGTATTCAGAATTTGAACTCTGGTAATGATTTTATTTAAATGTACATTTGTGCAGCTTTGTTACATGTAATTCTCTATATCTCACATCCGGAGAGCTACAATCAGCACTGGGCTCTCCTGGGTGCTGCTCAAGCAATATGCTATCTCTATACGGAACGCAGGGAGTCACTTGCTTGCCATCTCCACCATTGAGATAACATTTAATTTTTTCAATCAATACAAGGTGTTCTCCGACTGAACAAGGTGGAGAAGAGGAGCAGATGATGTTACAAAAAAAACAAACAAAAAAAAACACAAAAAACAAACCACACAGTTCTGCTTTAAAATGCAGTACATTTCACCCATCTTGCACAACTAGAAAAATTAATGCTCAGGATCACTTATTACTTTAAAGCGGAGGTCCACCAAAAGGGGCAGTTCTGCTTTAAGGACTGCTCCCCCGCTCCCCATTAAGGATTGGCACCTTTGGGGGGGCGGGGGGGGAGCGGGTACCCGAAATTGACAGGTACCCGCTCCCACTTCCGGTGGCAATTAGAAGCGAAAGGTGTCCTTCCTCCCTGTAGTCTTTTGGGACAGGTGAAAGGTCCCAGAAGACTACAGGACCATTTAGGAAGTGCAGCACTACTCGCGCATGCGCAGTGGGTACCCAGCTGTGAAGCTATCACAGACGGGCGCCCGCACTGAAGATGCCGTCCTTCTGGAATACAGGATGGCCAGTGAAACGGGCTGCAGGGGACACACCAAGGGACAGGCAAGTGGCTGTTTTTTAAGTCAGCAGCTACAGTTTTTGTAGCTGCCAACTTTTATTTTTTGACTGGGTAAGTCGAACTTCGCTTTAAATGGTCATTTCACCCAAAACTGATTTTTAGTTTTTTTTTCTTTGGAAGATGCTGGAGATACAAACCACTAGAAAATTAAACCGTCTGTTGTGGACATTATGAGGGATTTGCACTGTAGAAGGTTCTACTTTTATACATATTATGGAGGAGCTGCTGAGATATCCAAAAGGTGGCTGGGAACAAAAATTTAGGACAGGAACCGAGTCGGGAGTTACACAAGGAGACCTTATTGTAGAGTATCCAGGACATAAAACCTAATCCACCAGGATCCACTTGTCATAAATTAATGTTGGAAGGACTTTTTTAATCACTTATGGCCTTATGCACACTGGGTGCTTAGCATTTATACATGACATCCCGGCATTTAGGTGAATGCAGAAGGCACAGTTGCACCATGCAACTCTGCTGCCAAAACCCTGATAAACTTTATAAGAGGCTGCAACTGGACTAGAGTTTAGGGCATGATGCGCTTAGGGACAAATGCTGGTAATACAGGCAGTCTGTTATCCAGGTATTCGTCCTGGGTGCAAACGTCGCCAAAACATTAATACCACTGGGTGCACTATAAAGCCCCATTCAGCTCCCACAGCTTTCAGGTGCTCAATAGAGTTTAACAGGTTGCTAGCAGTGGGGCTGGAAGGTGCGCCTGTGTCTTCTGCCCGCACCTAAAACATTGAACGCCCAGTGTGCATGAGGCTTATAAATGTAAACGGATCTATTTTGAACTGTATACATTTTTCTTCTGTGGCCTATTCCTAGCCATTAAAATGCAAATCACCTGGCCATTTATTCAGTATAATCAATTTTCCTTCTGCCATGATAGAATACTTTACTGTACTTGTCAATGTGAGTAGGAGGGGGTGGGGGGAATGGCAGAAAAGATAATTAGTTAATATTTTAGGAGAAGCTATTGATATTTTGCTTTTAGCTTTAGTTTTCAATAGCAGAACTGTCTATTTCTACAAGAATAGAGTATAGGTACAGCACCAATACCATGGGCTGGTACCAGCTATTATTGGGCTTTCACAAAACACTACATGGTTACATTTTTAGTTTTCAATTGTAGACTAAAAACTTGACTATTTTTATGGTATATTGATACAAAAAGTTAAAAGCACAAATAGTCATTAGCAATGTATACTGTTCACTGTGCTTTTATGAATGAATTAATTCACAGCCATCCCATAGGACCATAAATATTACAGTAGAGATTATGAACAAAACTGCAGATGTCACTTTGGGATTGATTTACTAAAACTGGAGAGTGCAAAATCTGATGCAGCTGTGCATAGAAACCAATCATCTTATAACCTCAGCTTGTTCAAGTAACTGCTTCCTGACCGCCGTATAGCAGAAATTCTGCTACAGGGCGGCACGGGTGTGCAAAATCACGTATATATGTGATTTTGCATTTCCGGGAAGGGGGTACACACAAGGAGCGTGTGTCCTACCTGCGCTACCATTCGCAGCCGTGGTTGTCAACCACCAGGTCCCAGCTGGTGATTACTCGCCGGCGCCGGTGATTGCTGGGCATCTCCGACGGGGAGAACGGTTTGTAAACATCATCAATGTAGGGTCCATTGCCACATGACATCAAGGAATAGTCCACTGCTGGAGCGTAGGGGAGCACCACCTGCTACAGGAGCAGGGGATTAAGTAGGTAAAACTGCCCCCCCCCCCCCCCCCCCATCTCCTAGACGCAAATGAGCATTTAACCTGTGTAGTGGATTTTTATTTTTCCCACAGTTGGGCATTCGGTATATTCTATTCAAGGGCCCCTGCAGCTATTTGCATATAATCGGTCATGCAGTGTTTACATGGGGATGATCAGCCGGGATACAGACTGCTCCCTGCCTGCAACTGATCACACGGTAAATCACAAATTAACACTTGCAAATACAGCCTAAATCAAATGGCAACAATCCCAGTTAAATCCACTTTAATATCAGGCAGAGGCACTAACAAACATGAAAAAGTCCAAGGAGAATGCTTATGTACTGTAACTACATTTACCAGTGTGAGATGGAAAGACAGCAATAAACAAGAACAGTGACAGCAGATCACAAATACTCATTCATGTCAATAATCATATAAATCAGCATCAAAGGATGAATTTACAGTAAAATAACTGACTAATCAATTATGTCAAATGAATATACTAAAGGTAAAATATCTGAGTAGATTTTAAAAACCAGAAGAGTCTAGCAAGTAAATGCTGAGAAGACACAAATGCTCGCTCTTTGTAATGTTACACATATACGCTGTATATAGATCTGCTTAGCCAAGCAGCCAGAAAAAGTCACTGGACAGCCTGTGTTTTGTTTGCAATAGATACACACATAGAAT